AAGAAATATCTGAGACTCTGATGAAGCAATGTAGTTTTCTTAACATAAAGTTCGACCGTACCAAGTGATCGGCTGCAGTAACAAGTGCAACATCTGTTGCTGAAGTGGCAGTGGCTGCGCAAGGATCTGCTGTCAATCACTCCAAAAGAGTTTGGAGGCGACAGTTTCTCCGAGGCCCAAAGCCTGCATTGCAGGCGCACAGTGGCACGGTGGACAATATGTGGAAGCAGATGCAAGAAGTCCTGCCTTCCACATTACGAGTTTCGTCCCCAGATGGAGAGACTAAAGTCAACCCTGCTTTAGTGGAGTATCTGTTTCAGTTCTCTTTGAGCTGGCATCATGAAGGAAACTTTCAGTGCCTGAAGCAGAAAGTTGGGGACTTCCTGCGAACTAAAGGGTGAAAAAGTGCTTGCCCTAAGTTTGCATGTGCATGAACGCTGGCACGCACAGCGAAATCGGTAGGGCAGAAGTGGCCGCGCCAGGGCCTAAACCCCGAAACCCCTAAACCCTAAACCTTAAACCCTAAACCCTAAACCCCTAAAGCCCTAAACCCTAAAGCCACACGCAGGACAGGTCACATCTTCTCCATGAGCTGCGACAGCTGGCTGTCGGTGATTTTCTCCTCGGCGCGAGCTCTATGGGAGACTCCGAAAACCCTAAGGCTCCATGTACCTTTATAGTAGATACTTAGACCTTAAAGGGGTCCCTATGTAGGTACTTTAAGGCCTAAGTATCTGCTGTAAAGGCACATGGAGCCTTAGGGAAATACGGGGTACCTTATTTTGGGATCGTTATAGTAAGGATCCTATCATTTAGGGTACTATACTATACTCTAATATAGGGGCCTTCACAACTAGAATCGGGTGTTGGGCTCCTTATGAGTATGATTATAATACGGAATTTGTAAGAATATTGGTGCAATACTTTTTTGGGCTTCTATATTATATCCACTACAAGTGTTTTCACCTGGGTTGAGGGTTTAGGACTTTCTATCGAGCTCGGTTGAGTAGGAAACCCTAAGCCTAGACCCTGAGCCCTAAACCCTAAATCCTAACCCCAAAATCCTCAACCCTAAATTCTCAACCTTCAATCCTCAACCCTAAGCCCTTAATCCTAAACCCGAAATCCTAAACCCTAAACCAAACCCCAAAAGCAACTTCCTTCTTTGCCTCCTCGGCTTGGCACCGGAAGGATTTTGCTCAGGGCTTCAGGTTTCGGGTGCAGGGCTCGTAGGGTTTAGGGAACCGAACTCAGGGTTTGGAGTTGAGAGTGTGTAGAGTTTGGGGTTTTAGGCATTTTTAGGGTTTAGGGTTTAGGAGTGTCGTTTCTTTTTTAAGGGTTTAGGGTGTAGGAGTGTAGGCTTTTTGTTTTTAGGGCTTAGGGTTCAGGGTTTACGAGTGTAGAGTTTCGGTATTTGGAGCTAGAGTTGCGGGTTGAGGGTGTAAAGTTTAGGGACTTGGAGCCAGACTTTGCTGCGAAAGGGTCGTAGTTGCTGAGTTGATAAGCCCGAAAGAATATAAAGTGTACTCAATCAGGTACTAAGGCTTAGAAACCCTAAACCCTAAACCCTCATTCAGCTACTAAGGCTTAGAAACCCTGAACCCTAAACCCTAAACCCTTAAGGCCTAGGGGGGTTGAAGGCTCAAGAGCTCCTGCTTGCCCACTCCTCCTGAATCCTACGCCCGAAGCTCTGTCCCAGAGTGACTAGAACAAGATTCAAGGGCATATGGGTAGCTTTCTAAATTAGGGTCCCTTTTAGGGCCCTTATATAAGGGTACCGTACTATATTGGGGACCTGAAAAGGGGACCCGAATGTACAGAACTACCCATATGGTCGCATAACAGTTATTCGGGACCGCAAGGGGGCAGTAGTAATACATATTGCTACTACCTCCCTAAAACCCTGAAGCCCTTGATCCTGAACCCTAAACTTTAAACCCGAATTACACCAGGCCTGTAGATTAAACTACTCCATTGAGCTTCCCACCGTGACGCGACCGCTCTGTGCCTGCTGTAGCAGCATCATCTCCACCTCTGGTTTTGGTTTCGGGTTTAGGAGTTTAGGGCCTAGGGAGTTTATGGGCTTAGGGCTTAGGCCTCAGGGTTTGGGGGGCCTAGGACTCAGGGATTTGGGAGTTTGGGCAAAGGCTGCTGCGCTCAGAGACTTACATGCGATCTGCTGTCAGTGGATTTCATGCCCGTGCATATGTCAAATATTGCCTGAGGCTTCTCCTTCCTCTTCTTCTTGTTTGTTTCTTCCTCTTCGAGTACTACACCATCCTAAACCTCAACCTGTGAATCCTGAACCCTGAACCCTAAGCCCTAAACCCTTAAAACCTTGAGCTCCAAGTGGCTTTCGGGTTTCAAGGTCTAGGCGGTAGGGTTTAGGAACATGAAAAGGGGCATACAGACTGCCACTATGGCATTTGGCCCCCAAAAGATCATCCTAATCATGGCGTCGGGGGTGCCTAGAGTAGGACAATGAAACCCTAAACCCTCAACCCTCAACCCTAAACCCTAAAAGCATAGATTCACCCTCTTGGGCTGAACTCCGCTTGCGGCCGGGTCAGTGTTGTTAAGGGCTCCCGGGTTAGGGCTGGGCTGACAGGGCTTGTAGGGCTTGTAGACTAGATGGCTTATAGATTATAGGGTCTATGGGCTAGTATGGACGATAATGGGCTTTTTGGGTTTGTAGATTATAAGGGGTTATCGATTATAGGGTTGATTACAGATTAGAGGGCGTATAGCGTTTACAATTAGGTCTTGCATTCATACGGTTTAGTTCTTCTGGGGCTTTTAGGTCAACATGCCGCCGGTGGCCCTGGTGGTAGGTTTAAGTTTAGGAGTTTAGGGTTTAAGGCCTCAGGATCTGTAGCGTGTCATATCAGTCTCTGACTGTCTGCTATCGATGACTGTGTTGTTGCTGCCACAGTTCCGATGAAGAAATCCAGAACCGAAGCTTCCTGCATCCTGGAGCTCTGAGATCACAAGGCCCTAATGCTCAAACATCTCAAGCATAAAACCCTGAACTCCAAACCGCCCAAGTCCCTATGCCTGAACCTAAACCCTAAACCCTGAACCCTAAACCGTCATTTCAAGGCTCCCATGCCCGACTATAAGCGCCGCCTGCTCCTTCTTCTCCGGCTTGACGAGCCCGATGCGGGACAGCCGCTCCAGGGCCTTCCAGGGTTTAGGGCTTTCGGAGTTTCGGGTCAGGGCTTAGGGGTTCAGGGTCATGGCTCAAGGATTCGATGTCCGGGCTTATGTTTAGGGGTTTGGGGTTGGGGCTTTGGGGCTTTGGGGCTTCAGGGTTTAGGGCTTTAGGGCTCCAGGGTTTAGGGTTTTGGGCCCGGTTTTGGGGGTTTCGGGTCAGGGCTTTCGGGTTGAATGGTTATGGCGCAAGGCTCAAGGATTCGAGCTTATACGGGTTTAGGGTTTGGGGCTTAGGGGTTTAGGTTTAGGGCACCCGAATTGTAAAGGCCTCGATGTTAGGTACAGGGGACAAGACGGCAGAGAGTACAACAAGTGCTAGACTGGACCGTATCGCCGGGGAACCCCGAAGACAGAAAGCTGTTTAGGGGCTTCGGGTTTAGGCTTTAGGGTTTAGGGCTTAGGGCTTAGGGTTTAGGGTTTAGGGTTTTTCAGCTCGAAGTAACAACTGGAGCCACCATAAAGAAATGTGGGGTCGCGAGGTTTGCAAGGCCGTTTCTAAACCCCTAGGCCCTAAACCCCCTAAACCCTAAACCCTAAACCATAAAAACCCTAAACCCCAAGCCCTAAAAGCGAAATCCTGAGCTCTAAAACCAAACCCTTAAACCCTAAACCCTAAAACCCTACTCCCTAATCCCTAAACCATAAAAACCCTAAACCCCTAAACCCCTAAACCCCTAAAAAAACCCTAAACCCTAAAGCCGAAATCCTAAGCCCTAAAACCCCGAAACCGTTTCAAAAGCTCCCGCCTCCGGCTCCAGGATGGAACGGATCATGATCCTTTTCCTTTCCTGGCAGGGAGAGAGGGTCTAGCCGGTTTAGGGCCTTTGGGGTTTAGGGATTGTGGGTTTAGGGTTTAGGGTCTAGCCGGTTTAGGGTCTTTGGTGTTCAGGGGTTTAGGGGTGTAAGGGTTTAGGGTTTAGGGCCTTAGGGTGTAGGGTGTAGCCGGTGTAGGGCCTTTGTGGCTTTGGGGTGTAGGGGTAGGGCCTTAGGGGTGTTGGGCTTTTGGGGTTTGGGGTTTAGGGTCTTAGGGGTTTAGGGTTTAGGGCCTTTGGGGTTTAGGGGTTTAGGGGAGAGGGCGTAGCCGGTTGAAGGCCTTTCTTGGGGTTTAGGGTTGTGGGGTTAGGGTGGTTGCGATGGGTTATGGTTGAGAGATTAGGGTTCAGCCTGTCATGGGCGGCAAAGGGTATAGGGTTTAGGGGTTTTGGGTTTAGGCAGATGCTTCGGGACGAGCTTTACCAGTTGGCCAGTAACCTGACTTCATGATAATGAGAGCAGAGTGGGTTCTAGCGTTTGGGGTATGCCGTACACTGGCCGCTCATCCTTGCTTCGAATTGCGCCTCGAAGCTGAATTTTGGTAGGGCCTCCCAAACAACTGACCTTACTTATGGATCCCCTGACCCTAAATCCCAAAGCCCGTAAGTCCTAAACCCTGAAACCCTTAGACACCGAAACCATAAGCCTTAAACCCTAAACCCTACGCCGTACACCATGTTTGGACCGTGCTCAAAAGCCAGGATTGCAGGCGATTTTACTTTTTTGAGCATGCGACGCTTAGAGTTGCTACTAGCTTCGATGTAAAAGATATCAATTAATTAACTTTTACATGCCTTCCCGAAACTCTTTCAAGGCTTAAGGAGGCCCGGAAAGGAACTCTTAAAGCCTTAAAGGACCCATATGTCTCCCAATGGACTTCTAAGAAGCTCTGCCTCCATCTCTTGTTTCTGCGCTTGTTGCTCCTGCATCTTCTGCAGGTCCGAATCCTGATCGAACCGATGTCGGCTTAAGGTTTCGGGTTCGGGCTTGTCTGCATCCTCGACCCGAAGCCCTGAACCTACAAGCTTATGCTTAAGCCTTACCTCTTCACCCCAGGTCTGAACCCTGAACTCGCAACCCCAAAGTCTTACCAACCCTGAACCTACAACCCCAAAACCTAAACCCTACAACCTAAAACCCTAAACCCCGTCCGAAACCCCGTCCGGACTGCCTAAGGCCTCGGGCTGTTGATTGAGACTTGTTTGAGATCACAACGATTGCAGGCTCATAAACGCTTACAGCTAAAACGTAGCTCCCGGAGCCCTTCAAAGCTTTTTGGGCCCTTAGGGCTTCTGCGTTGAGAAACTCACTGCTAGGAACCCCTATCATTCCTATTCGAACGTTTTTGAATGGGGGTCGTAAGGCAAGGATTTCTTCTACCTCGTCAAGGAAGAGAAGGGGTCTCAATCAGCTGTCTGCATTGCTTTATTACTTCGGCTACCAACCTCCAGCTGTAGTTATAGGGACAAGTTCAGGGTTGCGGATGGTCTTGCTCCGGACTCTCGGCTTTTGGGGGTTTACGCTTCGCGATGAAATCATGAGCGGGCTCTGGCTAAAGATGGTTTCGAGAACGTCCTGAGCCGCCAGGACAGGGAAATAACCTCCAACCCGATAGACGCGTTATTGTTACCAGTATACACCCCCCCAGATGCATCTACCATCAGGATATACCAGTTCCGCTAAGCTGCCGTGTATGCACTCATCAAGATCCCGCAAATAAACCTGCCGTATAGCCCGCAGCTGCAAACCCCAGAACCTCATTCTAGCAGCCCCAGGGGTTTCGGGTTTAGGGCTTTAGGGTTTAGGACTTAGTGTTTAGGACTTTAGGGTCTAGGACTTTAGGGTTTAGGGCTTTAGGGTTTAGGGCTTGGGGACTGGACCCCACAAAAGCACGAAGAATAAGAGCCCTTTTATGTGTCGGGCCATCAGCTTACCCAAGTTTAAGGGTTTTTGGGGTTGAGGGGTCAGTAGTCGTTTTCAAGCTTAGGCAGTTTAAGTGCTTAGGATTTAGGGCCCTTAGATCCGTTCATACTTCTCCAATTTTCCGGGAAGCTTAAGGTTAACCTGTTGGATTGTGCAGGGATTATGGTAACACCACAAGGTTAAAAGCTTACTTACCCTACTACGAAGCGCCTGTTGCATTTGCATGCCGGCCGCCATCTTGGCGCGAGCCTCCTCGTCAGCCTGCCACGAGTTTGGTCTAAGGTTGAGCTTAGGTCAACTAAAGCTTGGCTGAATAGTTGGAGGGTTCTGGGGAGTACCATACCATAAAAACTGTGAAACAATGTGTGTGTGTGTGCGTGTGTAAGTATATATATATATATACATATACGTATGTCTGTGTGTATGTATGTGTATTGATTATCTATATACACACACACATAGAAAATACATACTTGCGTATATGTGTATATATATATATACACACACATACGGACTGCAAGGGAATGTTCTTACGGGAAACTCAGGGGCCCAGGGAGAGAGAGAGAGAGAGAGCGAGAAGGAAGACTCGGCATTGTTCGTCAGTCACTCTATGTTCAGAACATCGCAGGTGACCGCCTTTGGGTCTAAGCTCTCACCCCGCAGCCGTGCAGCCCCGCGCTCAACAGGGCACAGGATGCGCATCGAATTGCCGTAGCACATCACTACCAAGTCACTGTGGCAAGCAGCTCGCAGCCAGACAGCCTCAATTTGTCAAGTATGACTTCAAGAGCGACAGCCGGGCTCCTCTCATGCTTGGGCCCACATATCTTAATTTCATGGCCAAAAATATCCGTTGCATTGCCTGTGCTTGACAGTCCAACCGTCCCTGAATACTGCAACACATGTAGCCCAGATGGGCTGTACAAGCCAAGCCAGAGTTGGTCAAACATTCTGGTTTCAGCTGCACCGAGTGGACCAAATTTGATTTTACCGAAGTGTACCCTCCACGATTGGTGTTTTGTGTCCCAGCTCAGTGCGGAGGACTTGAACTTGACTCGAGTGTCGTCTCGCAGCCAATCAGCACAAGCACGGTTTTGTCCACGGCGTTGTCGTCGCAGAGTGCCGACAACTTGAGAGGACTCCACAGAGGACTCCACAGCAAGTCTGAAAGTGCCGTCCGGATGCAACTTTTGATCTATGGAAAAAGCTATCTCTTCCAAGCGATGGCCACGCGAACATGGGCCGAGATTAGACAACGGGACGCCTCCATACAAGCGGGATAATAAAGAGAAACTCTCTGTGGCCTGTTCCTTCTTCAACGCACTAACCATAAAGGCGCCGTCCGTTCTCATAGTTCCCATATGCTGACACGAGCCAGGTGCCTGTAGCATTTTGTCCAGAATCTCTTGGCAAGCCTGACTTGCATCCTCGACCCCATGACTGGCCCGCACCCGCACATCATGACCATGACTCATTGTACGCACTCCACTCGTTGTTACACCTGTCACGCCATCATGCAAGATTACATCTATTCGACCAGGCGAATGGAGAGCGAGAAACAAATCATCGAATAAATCCTGGTCAAACTTGATTTTGTACCAGCTGGCAGCCCATGATCGTTGACTACTCACCCAGGCCAAGCTCGCACCCTTGCACTCCACCCTACGCTCACCGTGCATGAAATCAAACTCACTCTGATGAGCTCCTCTGCTGGCACCATTTACGCGTCGGCCGCACGTTGCCTGTCGTTGCAATTTGGAACATGGCGAGCTTGCCAAGGTCTGTGAAATGGCCTGCTGTAGCAGGCGGCCTTTACGAAACCCGTGAAACTGGTAAAGTGGATCTCCAATGTAAGCGAGCTGGGTCACAGACATTTCCTCTGCCTGAATAAGCCCGAATTGTGCAGCATCTAGTGTCATCACGTTACGCTGTGTCTTGGTGCTGCTGCAACCCGTGCACATCAAGGGTAGTCGCCAAGGCGGCAGATGGAATCGCCGGAACCCGACACCAGCTGCAAACATGCCGCCCTGTATCCAACAGATGTGCACTGCGGAAGGAAAACACTTACCACATCGTACTTGAGCCCAAATGTTGAACACTGTCAGCACCATGTTCCAGGATGGCAGTGAAGTTGGCAAACTACTGCGAGTTGTCGATCGGTTGAACAGGAGACTCATTGGTCTGAGTGTTCAGGATATGGGCAATGTGTCGTTTTCCATTCATCTCATGCTGACACCGCTGACATGCTTGTGCTCCGATACCGCAGAAGGAACCTTGAACATAAGTAACTCTTGCCTCAGGCTTTGGCCGTGACATTTGCTTGCAAGAAAACACTCGGACTAAGGAGGGCTACACGAAAGGTCGAAGACGCGTATATATGTATTTGCGGGTGTATGTACGTGTGTACATACATAATGAACCATGTTTTCCTATATACATACATAATTAATACCATACACGCACACTGTGCATTTATATATGTGAGTGTATATACAATACATGTGTGTGTGTGTGTATATATATATATATGTTTATACTTATTTATACAAATGTGCATGCATTATGCACTGTGTGATGATCGCAAACTCCTATAAGCCCCGTGTTGCTGTTGCGCTTATGGCTTTTCATTCTTATCCGTATGACTTCTGCCCGGGAACCTACTCTGGCCTCGTAAGACTGGAGGCCCTACGTGCAAAGGTTCTAACTAGAGACCTTGTGGCTTAGGTTTAGGGTTTAGGGTTTAGGGTTTAGGGTTTAGGGTTTAGGGTTTAGGGTTGAGGATGTATACCTTGGCCTCTCTTCTGGGGGCCACAGGATATAGTTTTGCTTAGGGTGCATGATGCTACACGTAGATAGGCACCATAAGGACATGATGGTAATCATTCATCTCTCCTGCCTTCATGGCAGCCATGATACCTTCCTGAGGGCCGTCCGAATGGAAAAGAGTGCAGACCCGGAGGAAATCACCGGATACCGCTGATATGACAACGTGAAATCGCTCGCCCAAAGCTGCTTAGCAACAGGGTGGTGCATGAATGCCTTTCAGCCGTAAGTCCATGTTTGGCAAAAACACTTTCGAAGCTGCTAGCTTTCACATGGACAGTTGTGTGGGCAGATGACCTGAAAGCCGGTTGCATGCTGTTACAATACTTCAAATTTGAGCCCCAAGTGGCGGCGATTCAGGGCCGAAGCTTTCTGGAGTTAAGCCTCTACGGGTGCTGTTCAGAGTTCCTTGTAGGGCTCCCTCTTGGATTCCTGAAGACTTTCTAACAAAGTTTCAAGGCTCAGTTTAGGGGTTATAGCTTACAATCTCCATTGTAGCTTCTTTGGGTCATCTTGTTTCTTACTGTAGGATTCAAACCATAAACTGGATGGGCAAGAAAAGGGCTCTAATGTAGTCTGCACGTAAACCAAGGTGATGACAGGATGTGCAATCTTTCGGGCTGTCCAAGAATACTATATTTGGATTGAAAGGATTTGGAGTGTAGTGCAGGGCTTTCATAGCCTCGGAAAGCCCTAAAACCTTGAAAGCCCTAACACAACATCCTAGAACAGTTGAAAAACCCTAAATGCTCCACACAATTTAAACATCCTAGAAGTTGAACCCGAACCAAGGCAAGTTTTGGGCTTTCGGACCTTTGTGCTTCAGGCCAAGGAAAGTCGACAGTGGGCCCTCGTTTTTCGAAGTTCTTTCGGCTTTGCGAGTTGAGGGTTTGAGGTCTTGCGGCTTCGGGTTTCGGGTTTAAGGTCTTGAGGCGTTGGGTTTAGGGTTTAAGGTCTTGAGGCTGCGGGTTTCGGGTTTAGGGTCTTGAGGCTTTGGTTTTAGGGTTTAGGGTTTTAGATATGGGGCTGTAGGATTTTGGGGCTTCGGGTCGCGGTTCTGCGGTTTGGGCATGAGGCGTTGGGGTTTTGGGGCTGGTTGACTTGTGTTGTTGTTAGTGTGGTGTTACAGCCAGCCACCCTGTGCCTCTGTTCGAGCTAAACATCAACTGTAAATACAGACTTTAAGTATACGTATATGCGACCCCAAAAACCTACTGTATGGTAAGTCTGTCTTACTTGCCCAATATCCTGGGGGAACTACTAAGGGCTAGTATACTGCACCGGAACGGGTTAAAGCGGCTTACTCTACTACTAAGTTGTCCGGAATCGCGCCTGCATAATCGAGCAAGAACCAACTTTTCAGCAGCATCAGCTGGAATCATGCACGTAATTTTCGAAATATGATAACACATGTGAACTGTGGAAACTCATGCATAGTTACAATACATACATATATGCATACATACATACATACATACATACATACTTACATACATACATAGTCACATACGTACACTCATACACACATACATCCATCCATCCATCCATACATCCATCCATCCATCCATCCATCCATCCATACATACATACATACCTACGTACATACATACATACATACATACATACATACATACATACATAGATGCAAACATACATACATAAGTCCATTCATACATTTATACATCTATACATGTATATATATATATACACACACATAGTTCTCAATAGGTGGTCGTTCTGATTTTGACTAGCTTCGTGCTGTCGATGTCTGCTGGCTGGGATTCTGTTGGAATCCAAAGCACCCTCAAGAATGGATCCCGCGGCTATGGATATGACTGCATGTTGCGCCCTCCCCCTCTTTCTGCTGCGAGCCGATTTCCATGTGCCCGCCGATCACTTCTCGCGGCGCAGCCTGCGCTGAACTTGAGAAGACATATGAAGGATGCTTTAGGCTGTTAATGCAGATGTAGAATGCAGGAACCTGATTTGGACACAGCTGGTTTGTATCCCAAGTTTAGGATTTAGGGCCGTTTAAGCGTGGTGTTTAGGTTCTACCTAGAGCGGTTCGTCGTCCTTGTGCTGGTTGTCGGAGTGCCGTGTGTTTGCCGTTCTTGTCTTCGACACTCCACGGCATGGTAGGATTGCGAGACTTCGGATGTTTTCTTGGAACAGCTTTGGAGTGTTTGCAAGCAAGCTTTTTGGAAGCTTTGTCGCTTTCTTGGGGGTGTAGGCTTCGTTGCATCCGCCCCCTCTCCGATACCTACACCCTACACGCTACACGACAACAAAGTCAGGATGAGCATGTCAAAGTCTGAGACGCTTTCTCCGAAATCGACGCACAGCTGTCCATGACTGTGATCCAGCTGGGCTTAGGGTTTAGGGTTTAGGGTTTGAGCATGTCGTCTGGTCTAGGGCCTAGGGCTTGGAGGTCTCGTATTCCCCAAGCCCAATACACCCCAAATCATATATACCATAAAAACCCTGTCAATCCGGAATATGCTGAAGGGTCTGGTTGGAGGTTTTAGGCTTTAGGGCTATGGTTTGAGGATAAATCACAAGAGTTGTGCGAAGTCAAACCCGACATATCCCAAACCCACGCCCAACATACCCTACCCCTAAACCCTACAGCTAAAAGTTTAAACTTTCAGATTACTACTTAATTTTAAGCACCCGAAAAGTTTAAAGGTTGGGTCTTGGGAAACTAAGAAAAATACTCTACCGCTAAACCCTATAGACCCTAAGCCCTAAACCCTAAACCCTAAACCCTAAACCCTAAACCCTAAGCCCTAAACCCTAAACCCTACAGTCCCTAAGCACTCAGCTCGACTCCGAAGTGTCTCAGCGAATGTCCAGCTTGAGCTGCTCAAGGCGAGCATCAATCTCCTTGCAAGGGTTTAGGGCTTTTGGGCTTGGGGGCTTTGGGTTTGGGGTTTGAGGTTTAGGGTTTGGGGGTTTGAGGTTTACGGTTTGGGGCTGAGGGCTTGGGTTTTATAGGGGATCGCAGTTTAAGGGTTTGGGGTTTAGGGGCTTGGG